ACAAGAAGGAGAAGAGTAAGATCATCAAGAAAAGGCAAAAATTTTTTTATTCTACGTAGATGAAAGTAAGAGCTTCTAGCAATACTATTAATCTGAGAAGAGAGAGACATAGTAGAATCAAAGATAAAACCTAGACTACGAAACTTATGAGAGACATCAAGAGTTTTAGAATCAGGTAAGATAATAGGAGGAATAGTAATAGAGTGTTTAGATTTATTAAAACAAATTAATTCAAACTTAGAAGGATTAAGTTTAAGACACATAGAGTCAGACCAAGCGATAATCGAAGAAAGACATAGAGATAAATTATGAAGAACACTATTGAGATTAGATGGAGGAAAAGAAGTATAAATATAAGAATCATCAGCATATAGTTGACTAGAGAAAGAAAAGTTATTAATAATACGAGGTAGTTCAGAAGTATAGAGTATAAATAGAAGAGGGCCAAGGATAGAACCCTGAGGTACCCCGAAAGTAAGAGTAGATAAAATAATATATATTACACACATATCGTATATACAATTATAATTGAAAATAATTTCACAACTCATAAACTATTAATACAACTCTCTTTTTGCATTATTTTTGAACACTTATTCACAATTTTGAAATCTCACCTTTCAATATATAGTATATGTTGGTAATAGACCATAATTTATTTTACAATATTCTATAAATTCTACCGAATATTTGGCGTTAATATGTTTGTAGTTCGTTTTTTCGATTTTTCTCACTAAAGTTTTTTTTTTATATAAATTGTTCTGTAAGATGTTTCCGGAAGATTTAGAAGGTACAAGAATGTGCTAGGATGTTCTAGAATATTTTCGATTCTAGAATGTTCTAAAAGGTTTTAGAATGTTCTAGAATGTTTTAAAAGGTTCTAGAATATTCTAGAAAGTTCTAAAAGTTTTTAGAATGTTGTAGAAGGTTCTAGAATGTTCTAAAAGGTTTTAGAATGTTCTAGAAGGTTCTAGAATATTCTAGAATGTTCTAAAAGTTTTAGAATATTCTAAAAAGTTTTAAAATGTTTTAGATGGTTCTAGAAGGTTCTAGAATATTCTAAAAGGTTTTAAAAAGTTCTAGAATGTTCTAAAGATTCTAGAATGTTTTAAAAAATTTTGGAATGTTCTAAAAGGTTTCAGAATATTCTAAAATGTTCTAAAATGTCCTATAAGGTTCAAGAATATTCTAAAAAGTTTTTAAATGTTTTAGAAGGTTCTAGCAGGTTCCCGAATGTTCTAGAATAAAAGGTTTTAGAATATTTCAGAATGTTCTAGAATGTTCTAAAGGTTCTAGAATGTTAAAAAAAACTCTAGAATGTTCTAAAAGGTTTTAGAATATTTTAAAATGTTCTAGAAGGTTCATGAATATTCTAAAAAGTTTTAAAATGTTTTAGAAGGTTCTAGAAGGTTATAGAATGTTCTAGAAGGTTCTAATATGTTTTAAAAGGTTTTAGAATGTTTTTGAATGTTCTAGAATGTTTTAAAAGATTATAGAATGTTCTAGAATGTTCTAAAGTTTCTAGAATGTTTTAAAAAGTTCTAGAATGTTCTAAAAGGTTTTAGAATGTTCTAAAATGTTCTAAAGGTTCTACAATGTTTTAAAAAATTTTGGAATGTTCTAAAAGGTTTTAGAATATTCTAGAATGTTCTATAATGTTCTAGAAAATTTTAAAATGTTCTAGAATGTTCTAGAATAATCTAGAAGGTTCTAGAAGGTTCTAGAATGTTCTAGAATGTTCTAGAGGGTTCTAAAATGTTTTAGAATGTTCTAGAATGTTCTAAAATGTTCTAGAATGTTAAATTACAGAGAAAGAAGAAAAAAAAGAATAAAACGTATCCCAGCCAGACGTGTATTCTTTGCCACTGAATGAATGAACGTAGCTTGACATCTTCCCTGATAAACTCCTCTGGGAGCTTCAACCTGAACAAAATGAATAAAATGAAAAAATCTTATTTATTTAATTTAAATGAAAATATAGAAACGAGCCGCGGTGAAACCCGCCAGCCGGAAAAGCCAGCCAACTGGTAAAAAAGGAAACGCAAAAAACCGCAAAACGTACTCCAGCCAGGCTTGCATCCTTTGCCACTGAATGAACGAACGGACAGACTGCTTCAAGCGAGGCAGAATGCCTGATCTGATATTCATGTTTTCTCAGTTCCTATTTCTACTTCTTTTCAACCATACATTTCCATTATTTCAATCATTCATATCAGTAGAAAACTTATTTAATGTATGTCTATTATACATTCTTAACCACAATGCTAACCGTACTAAATTGACGTCATAGAACGAACGCCTTTGAAAATTTTTGATCGGCTGGTTGAATCTGCTATTTTGCTTTTTATATAAACATATAATTTTATTATTTATTTGTATACATGGATTCTAGTTACTATATATAGATGTTTAATATATACTATATATATATATAATATAAATTCATTATAAAAGCAACAGTAATCAGTGCTACATAGGTACGCTGTAGTTCAAATTTTTCTTGGAGAGATCAAAATAGTTTGAGACCACACCTTGCTTAACATCCGATTCCAAGCCGAGCCAAGCCACGCCAAGCCAAGCCATGCAAAGCCAAGTCAAGCTGAGCCAATATGCATAGATTTAAAAGCGCTTTTATATTAAAATTTTACTCGCTTTATATACGAACATCCCAATATAACAAGTTCTCCATGCTGTTTTAAAAATTGTCATTAATGTCTTTTAATCAGTCAGGTCACAATCATCATCATCGATATTGCGGGGAAATCAAATTGAAAATTTTTTAAAATTTGTTGATAAAAATATATAGTAAAAAGTTTAAATTTTTCTGAGAGAATTCAAAATAATTTGAGACTACACCATAACACAATTGTACAATTTAAATGTTTAAATACATTATTATAAATGTATTATAACTACGTATATCCATCTATTTCTTTATTTAGTTTTGCCTGCGTATGATATTATTTTGTCAAATTTATTTGATAGGAATTGAATATATCCTTTATACAGGCTGATTAACTACCAGGCAGTAAAACAACTACTGTTAACATGACGTCATTTCCCCCAACTATTTCGCAAAGATATACCCATCCTATTTTAAAAATTTTATTGGATGTTTTATAATTAGTCAGGTCACAATCATCATCATCATTGATATCGGAATGAAATCAAACTGAGAATTTTTTTAATATTTGAAAAAGTATCTTTATTCATTTTATGATACTATTTTGTTCAATAAGATACTGTTTGATACATATAACTAGAATAAATATAACGGCCTTCGCTCACTTTCAACGGTCGAACAAGAAGCTTTTTTCCGGAGGGGAGTTGGAGGGGGATTTTTTACCGTACGAGTCAAAAGAAAG